TTTTATTATAAGGGCTGCACGCATCACTCTCACGGTGACAGCCTCCACTGGAATGAACTGGTTCCACACACACGTGGCAATCAAGAGCTGTGATTAGCCTATAGGAGGCAGGCATGCATCCTATACCCCTTGTCCTTGCGCCTCACTGTGGCACAAGCACAACATTGCACACCACATGGAACAGTACAGTACCACATACAAGTGAGGACATATATCCCATCAAATCTCAACAGAGAAACTGTAAGAAATGATCGGGGAATCCCTCCGGAGTGGAGTCATGACGACTGGATCTGAATTATGTTTTCGTATTTGGTGGTTTGTGTCCCAGCTGTCGATTAGCTGTGCGCAGCGTCTCCACTGCAGCAACTCTATAGCCACCAGTTAAAGGAAATACAACTAATGTGTTGTGTTATATTAGCTGTACAATTTACCACATATGGTGTTCTTAGTTTCCATACCTTCTGTGTTTTATGAGCGACTTATCAAGTCTTAGCAAACGGCATAAAACATGATTAAACATGATAGTATAAAACCATGCTCGTATACAACCTATAGAAATGCAAAACGGCGTCAGTTTAGACTTAATTCTGTCCTCCTCCTTACCGCATCATTTATGAGAAAACATTTCATAACATCTCCAAGTTATGTTTTTGTGTGCACTGAGGAGTCTCAAACAGGCGTTTGTTAAATCATTTTAAGGTTGGCTTTAATCAATTTGTGAAAATGAATTCTTCATATAAATGAGAGGTAACATTTTATTTATGTGATTATTTCAACATATTTCTCTCCATTCTTCCTTCTGCCAACGGCGTCAGAGTTTCTCGTCTCTCCCGTTGTTGTGCTTAGTGCGTACGCATGGGTCAGAGTTTGCGTGGTGGACCGCACATTTTCCCGTCAAATTTGTTTTTTATGAATCGCAAACATTGCGTAGAAACTGGCGTACGCCATCTTTTGAGCGTACGTACCGTTTATGAATGAGGCCCCTGGACTTATAAAGACTTATTGTGGTGTAAACAAATAACAAAATAATAGAAATAATCAACGACTAAATAAGCGTTTTGGCTCCTACAGTGCGTGTTCTGGACGAGTCATCTACAGAGAGAGTTGTGTTGTTGTAGTGCTGATGGTTTCTGTTCTGAGAGGGTCTGTCTGGTCAGAGTTCACAGATTTCAGTTTCACTATCGCTGCTCTGAAGGCTGGGGGCAGGTTTACAGTCGTGGTTTAATCTGGAGATAAGAGCTCAGCAGCTAGATTTAGGTCAATTGTAGGGTGTTATATATAGGTCAAACAATGACTCAACTACACCAGAAACATTTTGGTTTTGAAAATGAAACGTGCGTGTGTGTGTGTGTGTGGGTGGGTGTTCTGCTTCTGACTCTCCATGTCGTGTCCTCAGGATCAGGTTTGATGTCTGCGTCCGTCCTGTCTCCATCGCCGTGGGGACGCGTCACTCTTATGTGTAGACTCCTCCTTCTGGCCGCCTCCCCGCTCCTCGCAGCAGGTACGACCTCTGACCTTCCTGACCCCTCTGACACCCAGAGACCAACACCCAGGCATCCATCTGTTATTCATTCATTAGGTCTTTGCTTTGGTTTGTCCTTTATACTTTGTAGCACACAGGAAGATATAAAACACAGAGCTCAAGTGAAAAAAGCAGTGAGAGTTCAACACGCTGCAGGCACAGGACTGTGCAGCAGGAAGCAGCACACAACACCTGAAGCTGTTTCAGGGCCTTTTGCTTATTAGCTTAGACATCTGATAAAACAAAACAATTACCTGTGAAACATTGTCTGAGTTAATAAATAACTAACCAAATCAAATCGTCTTTTATGACAGAATGACTCATTTTGACGTTTATGATTGTATTTATGCTGTCAAACTGCAACTACATTTCTTTTAAACAATAATTGAATACGTTTGCATTTTAGATTTTGAACATTAGGCTACTTGTGACGGTTGTGGTCATGATGTTAAAATAAAGCAACAAATACTCAACTTTATTTTTCCAACAACACTTATCGATGGTTGACTTAATAACTTTATAAGCCAATAACCATGGCAACAATGGCAACAAAAAGTGTGTCCCAGCTGCTTGGTGCTCTGCTTGAGCTTCTTGTATTTGTTGTGTTGTCTCTGTTTGCAGCGTGTTGAATTCTAAGGGTTACCGTAGAAATCTCCAACTAAAGAAATTATGAAAAACTGATATTTATCTATGTTTTACATAACCTCTGGGATTTATTTGTGAATATAAGCCGACTGAATATTAGCTTTTATTGCCAACACGACCCAGGTAGTTTATAACAGTGGCACGCAGGGTGTCATGGCGACTGATTGTGAAACATTACATTTTAGCAGCGTGTTTCAGGATGCAGACACTTTCTGTCAGGTTTGAACCTCTCTGGTCCTTCCTCTTCTCATCAGAACCGTTGTATCTTTCCTTCCGGCCTGTTCCTCTCCTCACCCTTGACCCACTCTTCACTGTGTTCTGGTGAAGGAGCTCGGTGGAAACGATCGTTCTGCCGACGCAGCCCTTTAGATGCAGGTGTAGAAATAGAGGAAGTGGTAACAGCTCTGCCAGTTGTGTAAGGCAGAGGAGTTTGTGGGGAACGTTTTAATGTTGCAAAAAAACAACTGCAGCATGCATTCAGGGTTTCATATTAATACCTAACCCAAACTGTGACCTTCTGTAGAGCCTCTCACTCAGAGAACCATAACAACATCACCTGCTGTGTTTCACTCTGGACATGTGTTCTTGCACCGTCTGCTCAAACAAGTACAACTCAAGGACTTAAGTACAAATTAGAAGTACATGTACCTTACTTGAGTATTCCCAATTTATGCCACTTTTTCTTACTGAAGAGTGAGTAGTCATGATGCACGTAGGAAGAGAAACCCAGCTGGTGGATTGACTTTCTGTAAATTAAATGGCCCTACAAAAAGAATGCGTCCTGAAGTTTCAGTACTGAAAGTGTGTACTGAGGTTGTTTAATTGAACAGATTAAAGGAATATTCTGATAGAACTTCTAATCTACTATAAGTCATTTTCAAAGAAAATTAAATCCTAACTTTCCTAGCTTGCAAGAATGCAGATGGTTCAATGGTTTAATTTTTGAGAAATATAAGCATTAACCAGTAGCCGGCTCAGAATCAGAGCATAAGCATAGCTTAATATTAATTAAGAGAATGCATCAAATATTAAAGATAAAATTCGAAATTGCACAATTTTCAAAATCCACATCCAGTCCCAGTAACAGCTGTGAGGAAGCAGCTGGGTGACAGTATTTGGAGGAGAAGTATATATTGCAGTTATTTACAGGTTTATTACAGAAGATGAATTGAATTGTCTGACTAAGGGGGGCCATTGATGATATAATGTGTATGAAGAGGTATATTTATATATTACACATAAGTAGTATATATATATGAATCCAGTGCATTAGGCCTCACAACGTGTGTTTGTGCCTGCAGGCCGCCTCAGTAACTGCACCCACCCTCTGGTGCCGGAGCATGGGGGGTTCCGCTGTGACCCGTCTCCGTGTCGGGGGTTCCCCCAGAAGAGCTCCATCCACTTCTTCTGTGAGCCCGGTTACCATGTCAACAGCAAGGTGCGCGTCTCCAGGTGCCGACACGGGAGGTGGATGCCCCCCATCCCCGCCTGCACTCCTCTCAGAGGTGAGAATGCAACAATAACGCATTCCATTTCATTTATTTTATCCCAAGCGACTTACATTAAGTGCAAAAACCATCCAGATTCAAACTCCGACCAACAAAGATAGTGCAGATATATTCACTTCAGGCAGGTCATACCATATTAAGTGCTGGTGAATCAGTTACAGGGCCTACATTCATTTTAAAGGGCTTTTTATTTTTGTATTGAATTGCCCATATCGTTATATATCTTTACACTGCTCTACATCCCAGAGATGAATGATATTCTTTTTACCACACTACATTTTTTCTTGACACATGATTCCTATTAACCAGTGGTGGAAAAATACTCAGATTGCTAATTTAGGTAAAAGTACAAATACTATGGTCCTAAAATACTCAGTTTCAAGTCAAATTATGAAGAAGTATTTTGAGCAAAATGTACTTTGAGTATCAAAAGTACTCCGTAAGCATAATGCCTTTTTTATTATAATTTATTATATTATTATAGAATAGAATATTATTCTGTTTTCACAACTAACAAGTAAATGTAGGAGCATTTAAACTTGTAGTTTTTGCAATGTGGAGCCAATTTACTAACGATATATACAAAATACTAGGTATATATGTATGTATATGTGTCTTATCATATATCATATGTAAAAAGTGTGAGTCTTGAAAAACTGTGGTGGAGTAAAAAGTATATTTGCTTCCAGTATGTAGTGGATTACAATTATAATGTAGCATAAAACACACTTACTCAAGTAAAGTATATGTATGTCAAAAAAGTACTTAATCAGACTACTTGAGTATATACTTAGTTACATTACACCACTGCTTTTAACACATTAAAACATATGGTATGATGCGATGCAGCACTATATTACTATCTATAATGTTAAATGGATTTGTCATTGACAAACCACAACTTTAGAACCTGTTGAGGAGCGGATAACAGCAGGAGAGCATCATGTGCTGTTATAATACAAGACACTGCTCAATAACAACTTCTACTTTTGATACTTTAAGTACATTTTGCTGATAGTGTACATTTGTAATACACTTTCATTTCTATGGAGTATTTTTAGACTGGTATTTCTACTTTTTACTCAAGTAAAGGATCTCAGTACTTCTTCCACCACTTGTTGAAACACAAAATCTGCGTGGGATGTATGAGTATTTGAATGACTGGCCCTTCCTACAGACAGATTTGACGAGAGTTGAACACAGGGTGGTTTGTGTCAGTGAAGAACATTTGATTCTCTCTGTGGCTTCAGAGGTTTCCACTACTCTCTCTAGGTTTTCAATCATGTGACTTTAAAATTCCTAATCAGTGAGCAGATGTTCTCGGACCACTCCAAACATCCCCTGACATTTCCCAGCAGCCCCTGCTTCACAGCATTACTCAGTGATGAGCTCAGGCTATTATCTAATGACTCAGCGGTGCAGCTCATTGGTCTTCACTGACATCACTCCTGGTTCAGAGCGTTCTGGAAGCAGAGGAGGACATCCTGGTTGGGTGCGACTCTCAGAGGAGAGATATCAACCTGACACATCATGGCTGATTACAGCCATGATGTGTCAGGCTGAGCTTCAACAAAAAGAGTTTATAGTTCAGCCAGTGTACTTTACTCAAGAACTGTACTCACCAACACATTTGAGGTACTTTTACTGCATCGAAGCTTTTATATTCCCTTTAACTTCTACTCTGTAATAGAGTAAAATATTAAACTGTTACTCCACTACATTCTTTGTACAGCTTTAATTACCTAGTTATCATTTTGTATGTAAAACATTCCATATCTCAATAGAAACAAGTAATAGCTGCTTTTGCCCTTCAACATTGTTAACAATTGTGTCATTTAGCATCAGGGTAATTGTGTTACTATTAAGCCACCATTTTCATTTGATTTACCCAAAAACCTAATAGAGAAAATGTACTGAATCCGTTATAAAATGACATCTTCAATAAATAGTTCCAAATTGAGCGCCACCTAAAACAACTACAACAGCAAAATGATGATGATGTAGTACATTAAAGTAAACAATGACAGGAGACATTGTTATACTTTTACAGCTTTAAGTAGTTCCTGGTCATACTTACATACTTTAGTTAAGAAACAAAGGACTTTTGACTTGTAACAGAGTATTTTACAGTGGTATTAGTAACTCCACTGGACCTAAGTGGACTGGAGTTTTGTCTCAATGACTGACTGTTAAGCTGAGATCAGGAGGAAGAGCCTGATGTAAACTCAAGTTCATCTCCTAACTTCACAGAGACTGTCTCAGCCTGACATTACTCAGACCAGTTCTATTTCCTCTCCACATTCACTAAGAACGCGATGCGACAGGAAGTCAGAGTGCAGAAAGAGGAAGTGGGCGATGCCACCATGATAACCATTAGACATTTCCCCTGTGATGACGCTGTCAGAGCCTCATGGAAATCTACTGCCAGGAGGTCAGGGGACCCACAGAACCAGATCAAAACCTCCCGTCATAGATCGTGTGTTTGATCATCTATTTCTGTTAGATAATAGCTGTCTGGGTTTTCCACCACAGTTGATTGTTCTGCCACAGCTTCCACTCATTGTTACAGATCTACACGTTTCAATTTGTTTTCTCAACCACCTAAACGTTTTAACTGAAGCTGCGAGCAGACACTTTCCACATGCTCCTTTTCTGTCGGATATTTGGCCAGAGATGTCTGTGGGTACCTTTAGCTGCATACAGTTAATTATTTAATAATTTTTTTATCAATTAAATGGTTCAAGGTTTTATTATTGTGTGTAACAATTATGTGATATGTAGTAAAAATGGAAAATAGATAACGTTGGTTATAGTGAGAATAAAAGAATTAATTGCAGTGCTGGGGGTTAGGTGGAGCGGAGGAGTACAGTGTGAGGAGAGGGGATTCCATATGGAGACTGAATCATTCAATGATTGTTTCATTGTGAAGCTCAGCCTCTGTTTGCTCAGCTACTGGCAGGGGATCTGTCAGTGTCTGTCTGTGGGTCTGTCTGAGGGTCTTTCAGTGTCTGTGGGTCTGTCTGAGGGTCTGTCAGTGTCTGTGGGTCTGTCAGTGTCTTTGGGTCTGTCTGAGGGTCTGTCAGTGTCTGTGGGTCTGTCTGAGGGCCTGTCAGTGTCTGTGGGTCTGTCTGAGGGTCTGTCTGTGGGTCTGTCTGTGGGTCTGTCAGTGTCTGAGGGTCTGTCTGAGGGTCTGTCTGTGGGTCTGTCAGTGTCTGAGGGTCTGTCTGTGGGTCTGTCTGTGGGTCTGTCAGTGTCTGAGGGTCTGTCTGAGGGTCTGTCTGTGGGTCTGTCTGAGGGTCTGAGGGTCTGTCTGAGGGTCTGAGGGTCTGTCTGAGGGTCTGTCTGTGTCTGAGGGTCTGTCTGTTACTGAGGGTCTGTCTGTGGGTCTGAGGGTCTGTCTGAGGGTCTGATCGAGGGTCTGTCTGTGTCTGAGGGTCTGCCTGTGGGTCTGACTGAGGGTCAGTGTCTGAGGGTCTGTCTGTGGGTCTGTCTGTGGGTCTGTCTGAGGGTCTGTCTGTGGGTCTGTCTGAGGGTCTGTCTGTGGGTCTGTCAGTGTCTGTGGGTCTGTCAGTGTCTGAGGGTCTGTCATTCTCTGTGGGTCTGTCTGAGGGTCTGCCTGTGGGTCTGTCTGAGGGTCTGTCTGAGGGTCTGTCAGTGTCTGAGGGTCTGTCTGAGGGTCTGTCAGTGTCTGAGGGTCTGTC